TATATATATATATATTAATTATATATATTTATATATATATATATATATATATATATGCATTGCGTAGTCAATTTCTTCTTAAGAAAGACTATAACTTCGAGACTATAACTTCCAGAAATCAGTGCAAAATAACAAGCAAGCTATTGAATCACTTTATATTATCATCCGGCAAACAAAACTGAATAGTTCCGACCTAAATTTTGATGGTGCCGCTAGTGACAAGTACTGTCATTGCTTCGAAACAGTATAATTGTTTTTTTTTAAAAGCAAAAACAGGGTGGATTTTCGGAAAGTTCGTTAAAATTGCAATGTTTACTGTAAAAGTTTATGTTTTCGGTCTTCCAAGCAGTGAAATTCCTTTTAACATATCAAATCTTGTATTAATGACTATGTGAGCACGGCAAAAAGTAAGAGAGTATAAAATCAAGATTAAAACGAAACTTTTGGAAGGCTTCACAGCAAACATTACAGTTGTAATGCATACTTTATGTCTTGATGGGTAGTTAATTTCATGATTCCAACTACTTTTAATTAATTCAAAATTCATTACATGGGATTTATATGGAAGTACGGAAAACTTGTTTTCAAGGAATGATGAAATTTTTTTATTAAAGTAACTTGCAGATGTAGTGGTTTATTCATTTTGGATTAATAATTTGCTTTGTAACTAAAACTAAAAGGATTACAGGGGAAAGAAAACAAAGACGGGATTCTACGAGTAAAAAACAACTTTGTTATTTTAAACAAAAAGAATTTCCTCTATGATTTCGCGTGGTAAATGATGTACGACAGATAACTGGGAAATACTGTGGTGATGTTGCCATTTATTGAGGCTTTGGATTAGTTAACACCGGTAAATAACCAGCCATCACTTTCATTTTGATCAGCAAATCGTATCGCAAAGCTCATCATCATTTGCATCCTCGCTTCACACTTTTCATTTTTTGTTAATTTTTTATTTTCTTAGGAAATAAAAAGGTTACTGATATCCGATTTTTCAAATTCCTAACAAAGAAATCAGTGAAATTTTCTGTGAATGGAAAACAAAAATTAAAAAGAATTTGAAAACCATTTTTTCAAAATTGGTGTATAAAACGAGGGGAAACTAATCCTTAACATTAAGTGCCCATACCTTTGAGAAAAATCCATTCTGAAACACATCTCAGTGTTAAGTTCAAGGGTTACAACAATCTTCAATTTTTTTTCATGTTCTTTCCTTCTTTTTCCTTCCTTCCATCTTAATTTTTTTTTCTACAGTTTTTTCTTCTCCCTTTCTCTCTCCTCTCACCACTGATCTTATCTAAATGGCGCAAAATGGCCAACAAGGCATTATAAATAAGGATAAATTAAGTTAAAAATTACGAAAAAACACGAAATCATAATAAGAGCTCATTAAACAGAGGCAACAGATTATCATCATTATTAAGAGATGTTGTATGACTTTTAATAAAAAATTTCGACAGATTTTTGCATCGCAAATGAGCTTTTGTGAATTTGCATGGTTCCATTCATGGAAAAGAAGAATTTATAAGAGTTTACGTTTTTCTTTTGTTTGAAAAATAGAAGCTGGAATATAATGAATTATAGTTTTCGGATTCCTAAAATCATCAATTCTGCTTAAAAATATCAGTTCATTGATAATTTGGAATTGCAAGATTTGCTTAATTCCTCACACTTTTAGGTATCTGCACTGGAAATTGAACTTTGGGTGGGCACAAAACGTATTTGACTTCCTTCTTTCAAGAGCGAAAAATTCCGACTTGCGAAAAAAGCAGATGATTACTATAAGTGGATTTGATTATATTTAGCTTATTTAATAATTGAAGATTACTCTATCCAGCTTCTGGATAGAGTAGTCCTTGCAGGACAGAGAACAAATTCTTCTGTTTCCTACCTTAATTGGTTCGTACTGTTTCTCCTACTATCTTCTAATGTTGTCAAAGTTTGAGAAAGATGATTATGTGATAGAGTGACTACTGCGGCGCACAATTAGTCATAAAATAGATTTTTATTGCAGTTTCTATACGCTCAATCGGAAATGCGCAGTTAGGAGAAAAAAGACAGCTAAAATACGGGTAGTTCTGTGTATGTGTGTATTTTAAAAGTGGTGACCTCGATGATGAGGATGTGACATACATGTTTCACTTCATCTTTTACTGATTAACATGAGATAAGCTTAGCACGAGTGGTACATTTTGAGCCCCATTCTAGCTGATGGAAAATTGTTTCAACTGTGATTTCTGCCATCGTTATGTGATGCTACACTTTATGACAGATTCAGTTTTCGGTTGAAATTCAAAGTTTTTGCCATAACAACTAGTTCACCGTGTTTAAAAAATTTTCAGTTCTATTGTTAAATCCTTCCCGGTACAACAGTTTCTGTTTTCCTGGAATTATCAGTTCAGAATGATATTTGATTAAGGTGATACATTTTACTCATACTAGGCCGAACTTTTTTCAATTTATAGGTGTCATCGATCAATAGAGTACTGCGAAATTTAGCTGCAAAAAAAGGAGCAGCAAGCGATGCAAAATGATTTCTACGATCGAGCACTGCGATATTCTTCAACCCAATGGTACAATCAATGGCCGATGGGTGTACCTGGTGCCGTCGGTTTAGCACAGTTACCATCACTGACACAGGCTAATCATACTGATAAGAAAGATTCTGGTAAGCTTCTTTAGCACAGTAACCTCCTTACTTACAAAAACAGTTGGGAAGAACTGTTGGTCTAGTACATTTAAAACACATTTAACTATGAGATTTGAGTTTTCCAAAATATGGTAGATAGTAATTAATAACCTCCAAGTAATTAATAATCAGTTATTACAACGACTAGTACCAGATTCCAATACTTTTTCCAAAAGTGCCACGTTATCGGTGGCTTTTTTTGTTCCTCACTTTTCACCATATAGTTCATAAATTTTTCTCCTGCTAATTAAAATTTTGTTACATTAGTGGATTGGAAACAATTGGTATCAGAATATGTAGGTATGCATGTGCGTATATTGTGTGTACGGGGTATGTGTGTGCGTATTTGTTATACCAGTGATGCCCGATAGCGCCTGACATATGTCATCCCTAATTAATGTCCATTATAAACAATTAAAGTTTACTACTTTTTTTGAGTTCAGTCAGCAAAGAAGAAAAAGCGGCCAAAAGTGACATTTCTTCACAATTAAAAGCAGCGAAATTTTTTGTATAGAGACAATGATTAGAATGTAGTTTTTCAAGTAATGCAAGTACCGTATACACCTACACATAGGTCATCCTGAGCAGTTATCCTGAGCGCATTTATCATTTAAATCTTTTTTCTTTTTAAATGATTAATGGATCGCGATAAAACAAATAGTGTTAACCATTTAATAAGAAAGGTGTAGTTTCAGATACCACGTTTCATCGTATATATCTCTATGTTACAGTACATTTCTAACATTTTTTTATACTCAAAGGTGATTACAGAGGTCAATACTAAACGGAGAAGGCTGTTAGTAAGTGAAATCAAAAAGAGATTACTTGGAAACATAAATTATTGTTTAATGGATTGTGTAAGTCGTAAATCAGCAACTGAAATGCTTGAAGAAAATGCATTAGTGCGTAGAAAATTCGTTTTTTTTTTCGGCAAAAGAAAACATAAAGCTTGTATCCACCGTGAAATGTAAAAGTTTGACGGTTCTTCAAACTTTTCCGCATGAATAATTTTGATTACCAATGGTTGGTTTTTCAACCACAAAACAATGTGCTAGAAGTTACATCAATCCTCATTGGCTTATTTACACTGATCAACTGTTTTTTCACGAAATAATATACTCTGCTGGTTAGGATTGTAATTCTTTATAGAATTTAGTGCAACTATGAAGATTACGTCTAGATTTATGAGAAATATATTGTTTTAATAGATATGTCAAATGTTTGTACCCTTAGGATGCTCAGATGGCCAACAAATTGTGGTTAGCTTAAGTTCATAAGATTCTGTCACTAATATAAATAAAAATGCAAAATTTTAAAGAGCTTTTCATTGTCCATAAAATACTTTCTTATCGTATTTCCCACTTACCCTCTTTCTGTGAGTTTATCATTTCTCTGGCGATAAAGAGGCACCAAAAATAAACCATAAAAGCAGCAGTTACGGGTTTGAGTACGCGCAGTAGAGTCTTTTGATATAGATAGTTGGTGACATTTCGATGCTTTGCTGTCAGTTTAAATTTCTGAATTTACCGAAAGATTTTTGAAGCTTTTGCCAAAAATTTATCGTCGAGCAATATTTAATCCTCGAAATTTCACCAGTTAAAATACGTTTCCACCAAAAAATTCCATAAGAAGAATTTCAATATCTATTTTTTTAAAATAAATTAAAAATTGAAAATAAAGTCAAATAAACACTTTTTGGAAACAGAAAAATTTTTTTTTGATTGCCGATCTGATATCCAGGAAATATCTGAAGTCTTGTCATAATTCGACATTCGTATTACTATTTCGTACAGTCCCGAAATCTGTTAGCTAAATTTCAAGTGTTACAATCAATCCCACTTGTGTTCAGCTGAAGAAAGATAAATTAAGAAGATTCGATCTGCTATGGATTTCTTCTGATGGTCCACTTTTTTTCCGCTGATTGGAAATTCTAAAATATTTGTTTCGAAAGATTACGGATGTCTGAATGAAAAGTTAACAGAGGTAACTCTTTATATTACCTGAAAACTAATTTATATTAGACAAAGTTCAGCAAATTTCTCATCATTATCTTTGCTTGCAAGTCCAAACATCCTATCTGGATATGTGGGACGCTTGAATGTCCTTCTGAAAATTATCAACGTTTAATTTGTAAATCACGATGATGCCGTTTCTAAATCTGATTTAACGGGAAACCGCTAGCAAGAGAAAATTACAAATGCCGATCATTTTCGATCAATACCCCATGATTTTGAATCTTCTCATTTATTTTTTTTTCTTTTTCTCCTTCTTAAACAATAGTGACACTTGGAATTAGCGAACAAGAAAGATTGTTGATGTTGGATTGTATTAATGACCTTACTGGAATCTCCTGGTTGACAGCTCCATCAAATCCCACATGCAGTGATTTGGCATCAGATAAGACTGCACCGAACAATACGACCAATAATGGTCTATCATCACTGCATTTCATAGTTCCGCCTCCGTCAATTCCGCACAGAATTGTGGAGAACATTTCCTCATTCCTTATTACATACCATTTCTTAATTATTCCCCCAGTTTCTGGATATTACCGCTTATATCAGTTTTAGTTACGTTCTATGTAATTGAAATTGAAGCAGAATCGAAAGAGATTTTACTAACAAGGTAGCAAACAACGCAAGTGAGAAAAAAAAAAGAATTGCAACGTAGGTCTGTTCAGGTAATATAGATAGCGTTCAGTCTATTCGATCTAATTTTACATATCATTTTTATTCAAATTATATTTGCTCGATTACTGTGCCATTTGCCCAAAAGTGGGGTTTTATTTGTCCAAAATTTAAATTTTCATTTATAGAAATTTCAGGTTTCAGTTAACCAAAAAGAATTCAGTTTTTGCGAGCTCAGTTTGAAGAAAACAGTAAACACGAGCAACATAGGCCAAACATAATTAACATCTACAGCGAACTTGCATTTACCACTTCTTTCGATGGTAAGAGAGCTGATGAAGAGACGTCAAGTGAAAAATGTTCAGTGGGTCGTGCGCATGCAATCATAAGGGAACGCATGTGTGTAGATGTGCGCAAGTTTATGTATGTGTGTGTGTGTGTATGTGTATGTGTGTGTGTGTGTGTGTGTGTGTGTGTGTGAATGCGAATAACTGCAATCATACAGATGATGGAAACTTGTTTCCTTCCCTGCTCCAATATTCCTTGAATTAAGGCAACACAAAAGGCACATCTGCATCCTAAGCCTTTTCTTATAACTTCCCCGTTTAATTGGACATTTGTGCTGAAATAATTTTTTTTCACAAATAATTTTTTTTTGTTTGGGAGCTGTTGGTCTATACTTGGAGAAAAGTGTTGAAAACCATAGAAGCTCAAAAAAATTGTTGAACTGGGCAATCTAGATAGAGGTTAGGCACTTTTGTTGATTCTAAAAACAGGACAGGCAGAGTAGTTTATGAATTAGCTCAAATTCGCGCATTGGGGGAAATTGATCAATGCTTATAGGGCTTTCGCAGTTCATGTAGTTTACGTTTAATTCTCATCAGTAAATGCCATTTGAATACCACTTCATGTATTTAAATGGAAGCGCAGAAACCAGAAAAAATATCTACAAGGATGATAAAGCATGCAGACCAGATCATTCAAATGTCGCAAGGGTCATCTTTCTTCATTTTATTGAAATGCTGCGAGGATGATTTCAATTTATTACCAATTGCGAGAATGATTTCAATTTATTTGTGTAAGCCATGTTGCTAGCACGCGTATCCTTTCCGTACAGCTCAAAACGATATGGGAAATCAGATTTTCGAATACCGTTGCAAATGAGCGACAGTTAACGATTTGGATTTTCAAGTCAAGTTTGGAGAACATTCCTGCGAACAGGATCCAGTTTTAAAATATGCTTAAACACGTGCAAGACTTTCTTATCATTTAAGACCCACTTCTTTCAAGAAATTTTACAGGGAGTCATGAATGCGCATGTACGGATGCTCTATCAACTGCCACCGTAAGGTGAATCAACCATGTCATCACTGTTAGGTGGGCCAAGAAAGAAAAGGTCCTGCGAAAATGAATTTCAGTTGATGGAATAATGTATTCGAATGATAACATATGGATTGAATATAGGGAAAGGCTAATCACACTGATGATCATTTTGGATGACATCATTTTCTGGATCATTTCAAGTTTAAGGATTCCGGGAAGTACAAGAAGGAACATAAAGAATAGAAGGAATCATAAACTTGAAGTTAAATTTAATTGTTTTTAGCAAAATTTGCTTTCATGCTAAAAGGGAAGAGGGACGTGCTCACTAAACAATTTTTATTAGTGGGTGTGCGAAAATAGGAAGAGGAGGAGGATGAGGAAAGAAGAGAAAGGTTAAAATGGATACATGCTCGTACCCTTCCCCCCTCCCCCCATCAAACAGACACACATACACATACATACATAACATACTCTAAAACCAGACGTGGAATCTATTGTAGCAAATTGTTCTTTTAAAGTAACGGCAATAAGTGGACTCTTTGCAGTTTAGTGGAATTCGCGTCCCTCTCAGCAGTGTATTTCGTCTTCTGATCTAGAATAATATGATAGACAGACATTTTATAACAAACTCTAGGCATTTAATAGCCTAAATACCAGCATAAATTCAGACGAGCATGGGAAAGGTAAAAGCCAAATCTTGTCCGGATTTTTGCACACAATGCAATAAACGGATATTGCAAACAACATAGTCCCCCTGATGTTGATAAGAGATGAATGAATTTCATATCGATGAGAAGCATGAACGAATGAAAGAATTAAGCTTGGCCAGATCCGACAACACAAGGCCATATTTAATGATGACGCAAACGATTGTTGGGATTATGCACTGTTCATAAGAAATTTTTACTTATTTTCTTTAATTCTAATCAAAGTTAATATTGATTACTGAAAGATGGGCCAATAGTTTTACACTTTTGGTGGCCAAATATTCAGTTTAAGCAATAAAGCCCGCATCACCATCAATAAAGC